AGGCAGCCCACGTCTACGGCAGTTCATCATTGCTTGAGTTACCTTCCAGGGATACGCTTGGTTGGCTTTGAACAATGCCTACAGCCCAGGGACCTTACCCATGCATTTTACACCCCCGCAGCCCTAGAGGCGAACATCCCAAACCAATCCTGAACTCTACCAGAGGAGAGACGAAGGACGAAACCAGAGGAAGACTGATGGGATTTTTAAGATTCTTCTAGCATTCTGGTAGGCCCCCCTTCGGGATGTAAACATGTACCGCGCGTTGCTACCCCACCCCCAAAAATCTCTCAACCCAGTCCCAGAAGAAAGCTAGTTCAGAAGCATTTGTGCCTGGATTAAGCGCAGTTTTTGGGTGGGGAATACGGGGGTTAACATACAGTACCATCCTGGGAGCAAAGTGGTCCTCTCACTTCCGTCATTTCCTTAAAATACACTCCAAACGGCTAAGCCTGCCTTCCCTACTGTTGATGGATGAAATCTTGCACCACCTTGGGGCCCTAAATTACTGTAATTCCTAGGACTTTAGGGACTTTAGGTGGTGCAAGATTTCCTCCATCAACAGTATTGCTACCGTAATATTAGGGTTGCCTTGGGGTTATATGTGGATAATGGAAAAGACAATGGAAACTGCTATTCAGGGTTAAGGGCTTAAGTGAGCGGGAGTCTTATGAGCGATATTGCCATCAGTGCCCTTAATACTAATCATTCTTACTATGGCTACTAGTGAGAAGATCACGACTGAAATTGTTGTTGCCATTATAGGGGGTGCCTGAGCTTTAACCTATATTAGTACAACAAGACTAATTACCAGATAAGGACCATAGCACTTAACCCTAATCTGGGTTGCTGTTAAGGAACTTAAACTAAGTTACCATAATGGGTATATATGGTAAATAATAGGGTTTCCCAATATAGTAACTTAAATTAAGTTCCTTAACAGCAACCCAGTAATTTGTACTACTGCTCACAGCTTTTAGTCCCCTGTCGAAAGAAACCTCTGCGACTTGGAAGGCAGTGGACTCCAAGTTCGAGTTGAGCAGCGATAGCACCTCTCGGTAACAATCAAACAGATTCCATTTTCTGTTCCATTATGCCTTTATAACTCCAATATATACCCCATATAACCTCATATATATATATATGTATATGTATATCCCTTTAAAGGGACCTAGGGATTCCATTTTCTTTTC